AATGTATCCCTTCTTTCGCACCTGTCCCATAGCTGGCCTTACGTGGAATGAATAGCCCAACTGATTCCATTGTTTAAAAAAAATGTTCAGTCAGCAAATATTACTCTGTTGCTGGCGAGTTGTTATAGGGGAAGGATGTACACACCGTAATGTCTATGTAACTGTACATGTATCAATGTCTACTACTGTCAATCAATGAACGAAAATAGGTGGCGATCCTCCAAAAACAAATACATTCGGCAGCTGATTATCCAAGTAAATCGAGGACAATAAAATAGTGTTTGAGTACAAATTTGGGAAGCCAGCACTGCCTATTACGCCTAAGCCCTTATCTCTTCCTCTATTAACTAATAGTTCATATGTAGCTACACAGCCTTAAAGCTAAACAGCTAATGAACGTACCTTTTTTTAGAAAAATCTTGAATCTCGTCTTTTAATTTCAATACTATAGGTCTCGCACGGTTCAGCTGTGAATTGCCGCAAAGAAAAAAGGAGTGGAAATAGTGAGGATTATCATTGGGTAATGGGTAAGGTGCCAATATGCCTGCTTTTGCTAGTTATTTCTTTACTACTATTGCTAACCAATGACATGAGATTGTCTGATAACATTCGTATGATCAAAAGTGGGTTAATTCCCCTATGGCTATCTAGCACAACCACTACTGCACGAATGGATCAAGGTAGAGTTTGCAACGTTCCTAATTGCTAAATTTGAAGTTTTATTAGCCATTTATCTATGCTGTTCGGAATTACAGCTTTGCCTACATCAGCGCCCAATTTATCTGTAAGGTCTCCACCTACCACCGTCGTTAGATACTTCGATATTCCCCATAGAGACTTTTACAACAACGTAATGAAAGAAGGAACTGGCAAGCGAGTTAGTGCATTTTACGACTAGAGTCTATCATCTTTGAATTTATCTATAGTCACTGGTAAATATGTGAATAAATGATTACTATAATCTCTTATAAACTGATTTGTTTATTATGGTATTTGTAGGGTAATTCCAAACAAGACATAACGCTGCTGGCTGCATACAAATCTCCTGAACAGATTACTGTAACCATAATGTCTAATGGTAGATATGGGTAAGTTTAATTTTTTGAAGAAATCAAAGTAAATTAAACTACTTCTAAGTACTAAATCGATTTTTTTTCACACCAAAGTGATCTTTTCGATATTTTCACATTAAGCTCCACCATATTTTCAGCAATACTGTCTTCTGCCGCTATTTCGACAATGCACAAAACGAATTACATCCACCATTTAAGACTGTTGTATTCCCGGAGTACAGCGTTTTCTGCGTTCAACGAGATGCAGCCACATTCATATCGTTGTCAGACAATTCTTCTGGGATTTACACGTACCCGGTACCTATAACGGATCGCACTAAAGACGGTCAATTTTATTAATTGTTGTTTTTGACTATTTACAACATAAGAAGGATATAAGAATGACTCTAATCTGTTCAAAGAAGACTAAGCAGACATAAATTACCGAAGATACGTTTTTGATATGAAAGTAGATTAAGGGAAGTAAGAAATAACTGGTTTGT